CATTGCGATAGCGGCTCGGAGAATCCGTGCATCAACAAAGCTAAGGCCTTACCACTCAAAATCGTAGCCATTGTAGCCATCCTTACGACAAGCTTGATAGGCGTAACCTCTCCTCTTTTCAGCCGTTACATTTCGTTCCTCCGTCCTGATGGCAATGGTTTCATGATCGTAAAATGTTTTTCTTCTGGAATCATACGATGACTTCCCAACTTCCGATGTGGGACATTATGTCCTAATACGCCCACTCGAGATGATGGCTCTTTGGCCATTAATCTCGGAATGTTCGGGCTTAGATCGACGACATCAATTTTGTGCCTTGTCGATGATTGGACCATCTTTGGGTCGGATCGGGTTGGACATGTGTGGATCGGGCTCTGATACCATGTAAGAATATGGGCTTCCAACTCAAAACCAATTGGCAATGAGTGGAGTGGCTCATATCCCTTATATATTACTTAGGATCACTTCCAACTTCCGATGTAGGACATTATGTCCTAATACGGACTGTAGATTACCGCATAAACTTTTGAAAATATCCGTTAGTTGATCACTTGTCGAGATATGGGAGACACAAAGCGTGCCAAATTGGATGTTTCACGAGTGAAGTGATAGTTTACAGCTATATGCCTCACTCAGAAATGGAAGACGGGATCACACTAGAGAGTTGGTGGCTGTCTTTCCCGATAATCGCTTTTTCTTTTGTGAAAGGTTTTGGACCTTTTGGTTCATAGAAAATAGTAGTAGATTGTAGTGTTTGAGTAAAGTGCCTTCTAAATCAAGGAGAAGTATCGGATCACACTCAAGGCTATAAAGAGTATTGATGTTTTTGCGAATAATATATAAAAAGTAAGATTTTGTTTGAAACAAAATCCTATATAAATGTATATAAAGAACAAAAAAAAGTTTATTTAAATTAATCGGGGGAGACCCTCTCATTCACCAAAAAAAACAAAAGGAACAAAAATAAAAGGAAAAATCATTTGTGACCAAACTTCTTCAAATATAACTGAAATCTCCGGCTCTACGGCTCAGAAATACATTACATGATACAAAAAAAAAAGAGCTAACTTAAAGGTAAAACCTTTAACTCTTACAACAATTAATTGAAAAGAAAAGAAAAATTAAAAACTTGTCTTTTGAAATGAACAAAGACAAATGCAAATACTTAAACACATCACTTAAAAGTCTCCATCTTCTGAATAAAGATGATTATTGATGTAAGGAGCAGAAACATCGGTGGTGGTGACGGTGGTGGTGGTAGTGGTGGTGGTGACAGGCATGTGACCGGTGGTAGTAAGACCAACAGTTGGTAGTTGGTGGTAGTTGTAGTTTTCGTCCATGAAAGGGATGTGTGCATGATCTCCAACATAACTACCCACTTGCTGATGAGGATATTCAATCAACATATTCATGAATGGGTCATGTTGAAACGGATACTGATTTGGATCCAAAATCATATCAATAGGAGCCTGGTATTGAGCCGGCTCTTGTTGATTTTGATTCAAATTCAGATTTTGATATTGAATATCATCACTGAAAACAGTAGGGATATAGGGCTGAACCGCAGCTTGATCTGTAACAACAGGAAGATCCGAAACAGCAAGCGGAGGAGGAAAGGAAGAAGAAGACTCACCATTTTCAGTAAAGAGCTCGATCCTGGCATTAAGCTGATTGATATATTGATCAATATGAGAACTTAAGTCATGAAGATCCCTTGCATCATACTGATACTCACTCATCTTGCCTTTAACACAATCAAACATAAATTGTGTAAGCTGAGATTCTCGGTTTTCAAGACGTAGGCTCTCTAGTTTCTTTTTTTCTTTGGTAATTCTGTCCTGCAAGTAGGTCTCATGATTCATCATTAGCTTGGATTGTTCTGTCACCGACATCTCCATAAACTTCGAAACCACCTCTTGAACACCTTCGGTTGACGGCCACACCGCTGGATTCTCGTACGGACTGTAGATTATCGCACATGCTTTGACGTCGCAGAGAGTTGTCAGGTCATGGAGTTTTTTCATTATCCCTCCCTTTCTCTTCCTGAATGTGGCTCTCCTAAAGTTGTTATCAGCTATGAATGATAACTTAAGTTTCGACTTCATAATCTTTGTTTTTCTTTTCTTTTGGTGTGTGTTTGTTTAGTTTCTTGGCCCAAGATTTGTTTATATAGTGACGAAAAGGGTGATTTTTACTAAGTATATGGCTTATCACGTTGTTGGACTCATTAATTTGAAGTTACAGCATTAATTTTTTTTTTATTGTCTTATTAATTGACCATGCCACTAATTATAGCTATGACTAAGAATAGATTTTCTTTCCTTTTTACAAAGAATAGTTTATCTTCCTATATATTACTCTCACTTTTCTTATAAGAGTAATTTCAAGCTTTGTTCATAAACTCTGAAATTTTGTAAAATATTTGAAGTGTTTTTTTTTTTCCATTCTAAATAGAGTACTATATCTTCAATTTACATATAAAATCATGAATATATAATAGCTCTGTAACTTTTTTATCTATAGTAAAATTATTTCGGGAAAGAATTTAACGTGAGGCTCACGAAATATTTAGAACGTGAGAAATTTTTGAAAACAATGTAACGTGGATCTCACGAAATATTTAAATCATGTGCTTGAAAAAAGCTAAAGGAACCATAAGAATAAAAAAGAAAAATAATAAAATATCATGAAAATTTATATTACATATATTAAAAAATCTATGTATAAAATTTGATACTTACAATAATAATAAATAAAAATAATAGTAAATTTTTAGAGAAAAGTTTCATTATATAATCGGGAAAAATGTCGTTTAATAGCCGAACTTTCAAAAAATGGCCGTTTAATACGTGAACTTCTTATATGGCCAAATTAAACATGAACTTAAAGTTGACCGGCCATTTTGCATATACATAACCGTTGACCAGACCAAAAACAACGCGACGTTATCTGTCGTTAACAGATCCGATAACAGCCGTTAGCACACGTTAACAATTCCGTTATTACCCAAAACGACGTCGTTTTGTGCTTAGGAAAAAAAATAAAAAATTCCCAGCAGATTATTAAAAAAAAAAAGATTACAGAATTCTTCTTCGTCTTCTTCGTCATTGTCATCCCAGTTTTCACCTCATTGTCATCCCAGTTTTCACCTGATAAAAGATTTCCAACAAATTTGACAACAGGGTTTATTCCATTCTCACTCGCACTAATAACTGTTTTTCGCTCATAAATCATTTACCTTTTCAATTACTCAAATTCCAAATCATAAAAAAAAAACTCCTGAGAAAATGGCTCTCCGATCTGTCAAAACGCCGACCTTGATATATAACTCCGGTCACCGTCGTCTCCTCCTCCGTTATCAACAAGCCTCAATCTATCAGATTCTCTCTTAAACCAACAGCGGCACTCGCCGTTCACAACCGTCAGCCATCGTTCTACGGTCTCAGGCTCAAACCAACAAAATTCCGATGCTCTGCGTCGGCGCTTACGCCGCAACTTAAAGATACGCTGGAGAAACTGGTGAATTCGGAGAAAGTGGTTCTGTTCATGAAAGGAACGAGAGATTTCCCGATGTGTGGATTCTCCAACACTGTGGTTCAGATCGTGAAGAATTTGAATGTTCCTTTCGAAGATGTGAATATTCTGGAGAATGAGATCTTGAGGCAAGGACTTAAAGAGTATTCAAATCCCTAATTTTTGAGAAATCCCCAAAATAAGAACCCTAGCTGGAAGTTAGGGATTTGATAATCAAATTGGGGATTTTCAAAGTTTAGATTAGGTCTGAAACGACGTCGTTTTGGGTAATAACGGAATTGTTAACGTGTGCTAACGGCTGTTATCGGATCTGTTAACGACAGATAACGTCGCGTTATTTTTGGCCTGGTCAACGGTTATGTATGTGCAAAATGGCCGGTCAACTTTAAGTTCATGTTTAATTTGGCCATATAAGAAGTTCACGTATTAAACGGCCATTTTTTGAAAGTTCGGCTATTAAACGACATTTTTCCCTTATATAATCACATATTTAGTTACATGGAATAAATTTTTTAATAAATATATAAAATACCAATATATCAGGGCCGGAAGGTCCATCTAATTTTGTTTAGTGAATAAGTTGATTTCGATTAAAAGGAAACTTGGGTAAAATAACCGTTTCATGAATTAATATATGGATTTTTTCCTTCTTTTAACTTCTACATTAATATGAGTATTTATGTCATTTTAGAGATAATTTTTGAAATCATGCATATATTCTACCTTTTGGGAAACCTTTTCTATTTATTGGTTTATTCATTGCACAGCTAATTATGAGCTGTAAATATTTGAAATTAAAGATTTTACACTGGTTTAGAGCACCTCCAATGGTTTTACATACCCAAAGGAGTATCTCAATTTTAAAGTATTAATATTTTAATATAGTTTAATTATATATTTAATTTTTAATTAAAAGATAAACCAATTAAAAAGAGACAAGTGTAAATAGAGGTTCTAGTTAGTGTACCTAAAGTTCTTATGTAAGAATCTTTCTCTCTCATATTTTTTTTTAATTATGATTCTAATGGGGGAGTATCCAAAAAATAAGATACTCCAATGGAGGTCTTACAATATCCAAAAAAAAATAAGAAAAACAAGAATGCACATTGTTAGTTATATTTCTATATACAAAGTATTGAATATTTTTTCTAAAATAAATAGCATATTTATTGGTTATTTGAATTTTTTTAAATAGATACAAAGATACTAGATAGTAGAAGATTTTACACGAGAGAATGGTAAATATTTCTATCCAATCATAGCTTAATTTTCTTTTTCCATTGACGTGCTTGCTAGCTTAATTTCCTTTCTCTTTAAATACTAAAGTTTTTTTTTTGAATAAAATGTAAAATTTATTCGAAAAAAACTTTTTTACATCCGAGTGCAGCGTTTGTTTTAGCGGTTTTTGAATACATAGGTTAGAAATAAAAACAAAGAAATGCGCCTTTGTTATCTTGATCCAAACCAAATAGCCATACAACCGTCGTACCTCCTATCTCCATGCTCTCGAATGGAGGAGATTCTGTTCCGGATTTGCTTGTCAAAACCCCGGAGCAAATGAGCTGAAGGAGTGGGTGCTTCTCCATGTCGTCGACTGTTCCGTTCTTTCTAAACCGAATGTACCATGAGCTGAAAGTTGTATTTTATCAGGAACAAGCACTCATTCCCAAGAGACTTTTCCGTGAGGAGCTTTATGACTGTATCCCAATTTGTGGTGAAGTGTTGTGTGAGGAGCTTACGAGTAAGTGGATGCGGGTTTCCAAGGGTTCACAACAGAAGATGCATGAGGGATCGATCCCGACCTTCCAACATAACACTCTATCTCCCATGGTTAAACGATTCTTTATCGCAATCCAAGCTAGAAATGAGTATTTTGGCATGGCGTGTGAGAACCAATTAATACCTTTGTACCACTCTACCTTTGGCTTTGCTTCTCGAGTTGCTACCCAAGTCTCTTTTGTACTGAACTTTAATTTGTTTTAAAATGACCTCTCTTGTCCTTCTAACGCACTATATCCTATGCTTCTATGAACCCTTTAGACTTGATTAAGAAACGAGTGAGGAAGATTAGGGTGTTTGGATTTGATCTGATTTCTAAGTGCTTCTGCTCAGTTCAAGAGTGACTCATTGCAACCAGTTTCAGACAAAAAAAAAGAGGAGAAAAACAAGAACTCTAGTCTATGCATAACAATTATTGATTTAAAGAGTTGAAAAGTGTTCAGATCTAATACACAAAATCTTAAGTTTTTTTAGTATTAAATAACACTAAAGTATTTAAGCTCGATATAAAAAAAATAACTGAGACAACGATGAAAACAATACACCAATAAAGAGTATCCTAACTTTCACAGAAAAATATCAATTTATAGAGGAATTAAATAAAGGTTTAAGAGAAAATATGAGGATTTGTTGTTGGGGGATCGAAGAGAACATGAGAAAATAGTGTGCTTATATACACATGAGAGGGTGGCAAAAGGTAAGGTGTTAGGTGTAAGGGAGAAAATATGAAAATTTATGGAAAGATAGCTATGGATTGAAAAAGAGATATATATGACCAATAAATCAGAGTTGAAGAGGCACCAATATTAAACATTATAGGCTAATAAATCTGAAAATGGTTGTGCATATTATATATTGATGTTTTGCAAATAATATATCAAACATTAAAAAATCACAAAATATTCTGTTACTAATTTTTATTTTACATTTTATGTTGAATTTTATCATATAAGTATTGGCTTCAAGGGTACGGAGGGTATTGGCAGATCTATTTAGTTATGTATTAAGAACAAAAAACTAGTAAAAAAAATTTGTGATCAAACTTCTTCAAATATAATTGAAATTTCCGGCTCTACGGCGCAGAAATACATAACATAATACATAAAAATAGAACTGACTTAAAGGTAAAACCTTTAAATCTTACAACAATTAATTAAAAAGAAAAGACGTAATTAAATATTAGTCTTTTGAAATGAACAAACACAAATGCAAACCTCAAAAACACATCACTTAAAAGTCTACATCTTTTGATTAAAGATGATTATTGATGTAAGGAGCAGAAACATCGGTGGTGGTGGTGACGGTGGTGGAAGGCATGTGAGCGGTGGTAGTAAAACCAACATTTGGTAGTTGGTGGTAGTTGTAGTTTCCGTCCATGAAAGGGATGTGTGTATGATCTCCAACATAACCACCCACTTGCTGATGAGGATATTCCATCAACATATTCATGAATGGGTCATGTTGAAACGGATATTGATTTGGATCCAAACTCATATTCTGATTCAAATTCATATCATAGACTCCATGTTGAATCGGGTTATTAATTTCAACAAGAGGTTGGTATTGAACCGGCTCTTGTTGATTTTGATTCATCAAATTCATATTCTGATATTGAATATGATCACTTAAACCAGTAGGGATATAGGGCTGAACCGGCTCATACTGATTCTGATTCATAGGAATACCTGCACCCACAATAGCAAGAGGAGCCGCACCCGCAACTGAAGTATGAAGCGGAGGAGGAAAGGAAGAAGAAGACTCACCATTTTCTGTAAGTAACTGGAGCCTGGACTTAAGCTTATTGATATAGTGATCAATATGAGAACTTAAATCTTGAAAGTCCCTTGCATCATATTGATGCTCACTCATCTTGCCTTCAAGACAATCAAACATAAATTGTTTAAGCTGAGATTCTCGGTTTTCACGACGTAGACGCTCCAGTTTCTTTGTTTCTTTGGTAATTCTGCCATGCAAGAAGGTCTCATGATTCACCATCAGCTTGGATTGTTCTGTCACCGGCCTCTCCATAAACTCCGAAACCGCCTCTTGAACACCTTCGGTTGACGGCCACACCGTTGGATTCTCGTACGGACTGTAAATTACCGCACATGCTTTGACGTCGCAGAGAGTTGTCAGGTCATGGAGTTTCTTCGTTAT